TCTAGTTTTAATATATGTGAAACGCGATGATTCCCTGAGTTCATTAACCCTAATATTATGGTAAAAATTTTATTCCCTTTAAAAATATTAAATATCAAAAGTAGGAGGTTTACAATGTGATTTTGTAACCTTAAATTTCTCAATTTTTTTAAAAACGCTATTATTAAAAAACTATTAAAAATTAGATGTTGGAACTCACCAAAAACATAAATCACTTTATTCTGCACAGAGGAACGAAAGAATTATTGCAAAAATTTATTATTTTTGGATGATATACGATTTTGAAAAAAAATTTTATTTAAATATTCTCAAGATTTTTATTTACTTATAACTTTTTTGTCGGTGCTCCGAAAAAATTGAGGTTTTGCACAAAGATTTTTTATAATATTCTTTACCTTCTATTAAAATCTTACGAAGATGTTTTGCTTCGTTTTGGAGATATTAATTTTCAAAATTTTTTATTTAAAAAGGTTAATATTAAGGTGTTACGATGCCTTTTAGGGAGCTTATTTCAGAATTTTTTTTTATTATAAAATAAAATATTATCATACCAAATCTTTTTACTTCGTTTTATTCTAATCATGAATTTTTTTGATATAAACATTAATATTAAATATAAATAACAATGTTTAGTAAAAAATAATCGATTATAATTTTTTTCAACACTTCATAAGGAGAATAAAACGTTGTAAAAAGATTTGGTGTAATTACATTTTATTTTATAATAAAAATAAATTCTGAAATAAGCTCCTAAAAAAAGGCCTAAACACCAGACTACCGCCTTAACCTTTAAGCTGCGGGATTGGTCGATATATCGACCACTCAAGAAACACAACATATTTAATGTTTCTAGACAAAATTCAATTTTGAATTTTGAAAAACTAACATCAGATTCGTAATCAGCGACCCCGAAAACCCCCGAGTACCAATTTTTAGCCGGATTCGGTTTTTTTTATTGCACATTTTTTTGATTGCGGGGGTGGTCGATATATCGACCAGCAATCAGGTCGGGGACTCTACCTGATATATCCAGTTAATTTATGTATAAATTTTGGATTTTATGACAGGTCAATTTGTACTAAAATTTTCCCGCAGCTAAAAGGTTAAAAGACTTGAAGTTAACTGACCAATTTCAAATCGCTACATTTTAATATATTTTTATAAAAAATGGAGCAGTTTGAATTTGGTTAGTTAACTTTAAGTCTTTTAATTAACCTTTTTAAATAAAAAATTTTGAAAATTAATAACTCCAAAACGAAACAAAAACACCTTCGTGAGATTTTAATAGAAAGTAAAGAATATTATAAAAAATCTTTGTGCAAAACCTCCATTTTTTTGGAGCACCGACAAAAAAGTTATAAGTAAATAAAAATCTTGAGAATATTTAAATAAAATTTTTTTTCAAAATCGTATATCATCCAAAAATAATAAATTTTTGCAATAATTCTTTCGTTCCTCTGTGCAGAATAAAGTGATTTATGTTTTTGGTGAGTTCCAACATCTAATTTTTAATAGTTTTTTAATAATAGCGTTTTTAAAAAAATTGAAAAATTTAAGGTTACAAAATCACATTGTGAACCACCTACTTTTGATATTTAATATTTTTAAAGGGAATAAAATTTTTACCATAATATTATGGTTAATGAACTCAGGGAATCATCGAATTTCACATATATTAAAACTAGATTTTTTAAAAATTTGGTCGCAATCACTATTAGACGAAAGTCAGTGGACTAACCCTTTTAAAAAAATTTTGTTGACTTATAAATTCTGAATTGAGAAAAAAAATTTAATCTTCGCAAATAAAGATTTAATGTAAAACAACCAAAATTGCGCGGTTCTTTTTATATTTTTAAAGTTTTGTGATAAAATGTTAATGTCTCCATTACTGGTTGTAAAAAAACACGACTTTTAAAGAGACGATATAACGTTATTTCCTCTATATATGTATATACACACACAATGACAGTACAATGTTATCGCAAACTAATGAAAAGTTGTATCGATGTTACATACAGGATGTAAAGCTAAAATTCCCATTTAACGTGCGCGAAAGAATCCTCAGAATATATCATATTACAAAAAAAAACTCTTTTTAAAGGAATCCATTAGGAAGAAGGCATAAAAATTCTCAAATTTAATGTGTATATCGCGAAGTGTTGTAAAAATTTAAAATTGCCACGTAAAATATCATTATGTATGTATACTTGAAATTAGCCTCTTTTTTGTTAAGGTTAAATTTTACTTTAGGTGCACTTTTTTAATTTTACCAGGAAAAAAAAGCAAACAAGCTCCAACTAAAGCTTAGTTCAAATTTTTTAAATTGAATATGTCAGAGCCAGATTCTCAATATATAATAATTGTTTTAAATTGTAACAGATCCGATCAAATAAAAATAAAATCGAAAAATTTTCAATTATAAATTTAATGAGATATTGATTAATTAAAGTATATTAGCAACTTGTATAACGCAATTAAAATCTGTTAAATAATTAATAATTTCTGTATTTAAAACTCAATAATTATTTAAAATATGCAAATAAATATTTGCGAAATTCAGATTTAGAGAGTGGCTAGAATTATATATTGAAACACATTTTTTTTTTGGTTTATTTCCAAGAAAAACGACCCAAGTAGAAATGTACCACTGGCATAGTACTGACCCAACACTGCCAGTCAGTATAACGGTACTGACTGCCGTACTGGGCCAGTAGTGGACCAACCCTGGCTGGTAACGCTGTCCAGTACTGATTTTGTCCCGCTCACCAGTACTAACGTAGTACTAGAATAATACTGGCATAATACTGGCAAAGTACTCATCCGGACTTAAAATCTCACTTTTTTACAAAATGCTAAAACACGCTTTCCAATGCAAATTTCATCCTTATTAGCTTATTACTCCCATTTTTACCACGAACAGGTAATGTGAAGCCAATAATAGTTAATGTTATTTAGAATATATAAAATATTATTAACAATAAATAATTAAAATAATAATTATCATTTATATTAATTAAATTATTTTATTTTTAATAAATTATTTTACAAAAAATAATTTGTGTTGTAAATTTTTTTATTTTTTTAAATTCTTAATATTTAATTTTTTTTACTTTGCACTTATACATAATTTAATAATTATTTAATAATTGATATTACACATGAACAAATATTGTACTTATAACACTTAAAACTAAGAACGAAAAATCTCGCACGCATGGGGGATCGAACCCTAAACCCTTGGAACGCAAGTCAGATACGCATACCGCACAGCCGCGCTGGCTTGAAGTGCTGACTTGAAGTAGTTCACCTAATACAAAAGTTTTGATTTCAAAGTTTGTATTATCTATTGATCACGAAAATAAAATGAATTCATTCTTAAATTTTTTAAACTCACAAAATTTTTTCAATTTTTACAAAGATTTAATGAAATAAAACTGGATATCAATTTCAGTTAAATATTTTTAATAAATTATTTTTACCGTAAATAATATTAAAACAGACAAAAATGATTGATGAATTACATAATTAAAAATAAGTTAATAAAAGACGACTGTAAAATATGAATGGTGAAAAATTTTTTTAATTTAATATTTAATTATTAATAATATTTAAAAATTACAGTGAAAAAATTACATTTGCTTTATTTTTAAAACTATTAGAAAAAAATTCTCAACTTATTGTTATTGTATGCATGATAAATAACTTAATGCACATATTTCAATGAGTACTAAAATAACTAAAAAACATAAATATATTTTATATAGGTATATAATAATACATTACAATTACATCCAAAATTTTGAGGGAAAGTATTCGAAGGAAATTAATATACATTTTTTTAAATAAAAAATCATCGTTTTCTATCTATTGGAATAATTTAAAGACTTTTTCATTTAATGTTTTTTATCACCGACATAGTACTGATTCGGTGTGAATGACAGTGTACTGCCAGTACTGGTTTTAATATTTTTTTACCTCCGACATAGTACTGATTCGGTGTATTAGTCAGTACACTGCCAGTACTGAAAGTCAATACCGACATCCAGTATTGGATCAGTACCATGCCGGTGTTTAATTACGGCGAGCTACGGATATTTCTACTTGGGGAGCGTTATTAACGAATAATAATTTTTGTGCAAATATGCAAAGAATTTTTAGAAATACCATTGATTTAGTATTCAGGATCACTATATATAGCCAAAAATTTGCTTCTCGCTTGATGTATCCAAGCAGCAGCTGTTCTCGGTTGAGTCGACGAAAACGATCGCTCGTAAAACGCCTCGTCCTTTTCCACTCGGGTAGACAACCCCTCCGAGCGGTTCTTGGACCGTCGAACACACATATCAAGTAAAACTAAATAGAATGTCAGACTGCAAATGACGGTGGATTATGATCGCAAAAGATCCTTTTGACATGAACGAATTGATCGTAAAAACCACACAAACGATAGCCGAAAATTCCTCATCTCAAATGACATCCAATTTTATCTTTATATCACATAAATACGCCAAAGGCGCTCACTTCGAGCGTGTATAAGTGTGCGGTCAAGAAAATAGCTTTTTACACAGAGCTCTTGCAAAGTCAATTGGAAAATTGCGTGCGACTTTATATAGAAAAAAAGCCATTTATTACACAGCTTTTGAAAAGTTTATTCTTTGAGAAAAACTCATTTATTCTTCAAGAAGCTCATTTATTCTTTGACAAAACTTTTGTTAGTTCAAAGAAGAAGAAAAAAACTTTTGTTTTATTAAAGAATAATAAGATTCGATCGGAATAAATATTTTATTTAAGATGTAAAAAAGTTTAAAATATAAACATTTTGTTTAATCTACGATGCGGTAATTAATTATTATTACTAATGGTATAATGTAGACAAACTTTCTATCTACTGTTAATTAGCCCGAATTTTATAAACCGAAATTAAAAATAGTTATTTTCGAAATAAATCGTTAACACTTAGTAAAATAAAGTATCCTATTATTATAAATTGTATTCCATACCTGATATATACGATCTTCATCCTGAAGCTACCCTCCGATATAATGCACCAAAACAACGTAAATACAAACACTCGCGTAATTTCACAAAAATTTAAATTAAAAAAACAGAATTTTCCACTATTTAACGATTTTAAAATACTCAAAACACTCTCGAAATAAAAGTTGCAATAAAGAAATACTTGACGTGATTTTATCAAACGATCGCGGTTTTAAAAATATTCGAACACTCCCGAAACAAAATAGAAACCGAATTTTAAAAATATATAGTTAAACGATCGCGAATGTTATGAAATTTGAACACTTGCGAAAAACCTGAAAACCGAAAAAATTAAAATTATTGTTTTTTAACGTTTGGATAATATACTTGAATTTTGAAAAATTAGCAAACAAATAAAAATAAATGAACACGTTTAAACAGGTAGAATCACAAATTGCAAGTAGTGATGAATTTTACACTGGTATTAATTTTTCTTGAAACAGTTTTACTATTTTGAAACACAGCCCCCTTTAACCAAACATCTTGTGAATTCATGCAGAAATATGACATTAAAATTATGTAAATTAATACTGCCGAATTGAAGTAATGACAGTCATAATGGCTGTGATTTTGTACTACGTGCACCCATCATCTAATAAAGACTGAACTTCTTTATTTACAAACATCATAACTGTTATTATTAAAAATCTGCAATATTATTTTTCTGTTTTTACTCCACCCATTTCTACCTGAATTTACAAGACCTTGTAGATTTAAATAATCCAAGTCTCAGTGTTTCAAAATTTTGGAAAATATATATGCTAACACTCTCGAAGCAAATTTTATTAAATATTGAATTTATAAAATTAGCCCTTCAATAAAAATAAATGAACACGTTTAAACAATCCGAATCACGAATTACAAATGCGTACAATTTTGTACCGTCTACACGCAACTATCATCTGCTAACGACTGGATGTCCTTATTTACAAACAGCATGACTATTATTAAAAATCGGCAATATTATTTTCCAGTTTTCTGTTTTGACCCCAACCATTTTTACCTGAATTAACAAAACCTTTCAGATTTAAATAATCTAAGTGTCAGTATTTCAAAATTTTTGAAAATATATCCAACACTCCCAAAAGCAAATATTTTTAAATACTGAATTTATAAATCTAGCACTTCAATAAAAATAAATGAACACGTTTAAACAATCCAAATCACGAATTACAAATGCGTACAATTTTGTACCGTTTACACGCAACTATCATCTGCTAACGACTGGATGTCCTTATTTACGACTATTATTAAAAATCTGCAATATTATTTTCTAGTTTTCTTTCACCCCAACCATTTTTACATGAATTAACAAAACCTTTCAGATTTAAATAATCCAAGTGTCAGTATTTCAAAATTTTTGAAAATATATCCAACACTCCCAAAAGCAAATATTTTTAAATACTGAATTTATAAAGCTAGCACTTCAATAAAAATAAAATGAACACGTTTAAACAATTCGAATCACGAATTACAACTTCAACCGCAAAAATATATCATAAATAATTGAATCTTACTGTTATATTAAACCCAAATAATAAGCCTCTAATTAGATCTCATAAATTCGTCATTTTTGATTCATCCAATTAGAAGTAACAAAAAATAAATTTTTTTTTATCCAAAGGATTAAAATAAAACTTTCATCTCAAGTAACAATGCTTAATTACAATTCTCCAGAGAGTATGTAATTAAATCTACTTTTTCTGCACAAAAAAAAGTAATAATAAAGAATACTCTTACCTTTATACATATCTCCAGTGATGAAATTATTTCCAATATTTTTTCTTGAATTAATTGGAAGAAGAATTTTGAACGTAGCGAACATATTATATAGTTAGGTAAAGGGTAAAAACCGCTGAGAAAAATACCTACTTGTCGCTCGTTAATTTCTCTTTGTTCAGCAAGTAAATCGAAATCTCTTGAATCGAAGTGCAATCTTGTAGAATCTTCATGGCAAGGAGGAAAAGTCATTGTTCCCGAAGGCGAAGAGGCTGAATTTTCTATTTAAAAGACGCTTCTGCTGATCCTGAAAAGGGAAAAGGAAAGTCTTGAAAGAAAGTGAAAAAGTGTAAAAGAACGAAAATAAAATGTAGAGAGAAAGGGAGATAGAAAAAAAAGAAGTTGAATGCACCTTATCCAAGGTGATAGATGCTTCCCTGGGCAAGGCGATAAAAACACCTAGAAAACTCATTTTCCCCACCATATCCTCAATTCTCTGTTTATTTTCTTTTAGTAAAATCAGATTTTCTGTTCGACGGTTAACCAGCCTTCTTTCTCTCCTTTTTCTTTTTTTTTTATTATATCGCACCGCTTATTGAAATTTTCACCTTACTTTATACCAATTGATAAAGGACGGTTTATGGATATTGAAATTTAATTTTATACTTTTTTTTACAAATATTTTTCCAATTTTCTATAAAATTTGTTATTTTTTAAAATGAAATTTAAAAATTTTAAATTAAATGAAAATAAGTGTATTTTAAAAATTAGAAACTATATTTTTTTTTATGAAAAGAAACCTCATAAATATATTTTAGCATATAAAGAAGACTCATAGAAATAAAATTCTACGATTACGATTTTCAATGTCTCGAAAATCTGTCTTTCAAATCGTATCAAAAGAAAATGTTGAGAAGTAGAAAAAGAGAACCAAAGAAACTTTTTGCCTCTCAGAGAAATACTGACTTTTCTAATATGAGAAAAAGAAAATGAATCCAGATGAAGTTTTCGACTGGAAGTCATCTGACTCTAATGTCTTCGTACACAGTGGAAAAATAGAAAGGAAAATTAAAAAAAAATCCTTTTTATCTGAATAAATGAGATTAAAATCTTTTTAGAAATTTATATTTAAAAAATGCATTAAAAGTTGAAAATAACAAAAATCTTTTGAAATAAAGTTTTTTAGTTTTAGAAAAAAGAACATATAGTTGCTGTGTCAACATTGAAAGAGAAAAGTTTATCGAAAGGAAAGTGATGAAGCAGAGACATTGAGCGTATATATATATATATGGGATCGTAAAACTTTTCGAGTTCTTTTCTTAGAGACTAATATCTCGTAAGAACACGAGCAAGAAATAAAAAAAAAGAAGTATAACTCTTGATAGAGTAAGAAACAACATAATATACCCATAGCCACATAGAACTTTGATTAAAAAATTCAAAATTTTAATTAAAACAAATTTGCTGTAACTTTAATAAATTATCACAGAATAAAAATTTTAATTTTATAAATTACGAAAAGACTCTCGTAAAAATGTATTTTATGTGAATGTAAATAAAAATGTTTATTTGATTTTTTTTATAAGCTCAACAATTTCGCGAAAGACAAGTTGATTCAGTAAATGAGCGATAAAAATAATCCTCACGTAAAAAATGAAATAAATGACCAAATCTAGAGCAAGGGTAATATCTGAATTTTTTTTTTTTAGTTTTAATCCTATACCAGTTGCCCCGTCGTAATCTTGAATAATTTAACACTCTATTAACACAAAATGTGTGTATGTGTATGAGTCTCAGCAGTAATTAAATTAAGTATATATATTTGTACTCTGATAAAAAAAATATTTATTTGTATTTCTAAAGATTTCTAAAAATTTTGTTATAAGAATTTTCTAAGATGGAAATTATTATCAAGATAGAAAAAATCATCGATTGGAAAAAGTAAATCGATTTTTTATAATTCAACTTTTTTGCCACGCACAGTAAATAATTGTTTATTCACCAGTTATGAAGCATACACAAGTTTTTCTTTGTAATTAATATTAATATACTAGACAGTTTTCATCAATATTAATACATAATCAAATGAGATTATATTATATAGTTCTGATATAAAGCAAAGGATTTGTAATATAACATCGTCAGTAATTGTTTAGAAGTGGATTAGAAAAATAAACAAGTGAATGTTATTAGAATCAGTGAATTGTGAAATTAATTTTCTGTATCATAAATCGGAAATTTTTTTAAAACTGAATAAAAATTAAACTATATACTCTCTTCATCTGAATTGGGGATTAATTTACTTAATTAAATATATGACTGGATCATGGAGTCTGAAGATTACAAATTTAAAACGCCATTACAAAATTTTTATGCCGGTCAAAGTATTCTAATTACAGGTATTTATAATTTATTCCTAAGTTTAGCAGATTTTTAGTTCATTAACAACTTTTTCTATTTTACTAAAAGGAGGAACAGGATTTTTGGGAAAACTGCTTATAGAAAAATTGTTAAGATGTTGTCCAGAAATGACATCTATTTATGTAATCATAAGACGAAAAGGAGATCAAGATATTCATAAGAGAATACAGCATCTTTTAGAATCACCGGTAAAATTAAATTATGTTTAAATTATTTAAACATACCTAAAATATACTAAAAATATTTCAACCACTTCGTATAAGACATAAATATATATGTACAAATAAAAATTCATCAACTATATTTGAATCAATATTTTTTAGATTTACGATCAATTAAAATGCGAATATCCAAAATTTTTCGAGAAGATTATCCCAATCGAAGGAGATAGTAATTTACCAAATTTTGGAATATCTCCCGAGAATAGAAATATTTTATTAAAAAATGTTTCAATAGTCTTTCATGGAGCAGCTAATGTGAAATTTAATGAAAAACTCGGAAAAATGATCCTCGCCAATGTTTTTGGAACTAAAGAATTGATAAATATTTGTCAATCTATGAAGAACTTAAAGGTCAGTTCTCTCTTTTTCATGTATTAACATAAAAAAAAATTATCTCATTTAATTATACAAAAGGTTTTCATGTACATATCTACATTTTCCACACAAACAATAAGAACGGAAGTTGATGAAAAATGTTACGATTCATCAATAACAGGTAAAATATTTTAATTTTAACAATTTTGAAAAAAATTAAGAATTTCTATTTACATTATTTTAGGCGACAGAATTTTAAAAATAGCCGAAATTCTTAATGCAGAAGAATTAGATAATCTTGAGAATAAATTGAGGAATGATCATCATAATAATTACAGTTTTACAAAATCAATTGCAGAACAATTAATTCATCAACATGCAAAAGAACTTCCTTCTGGAATATTTAGACCAGCAATGGGTCAGATGGATTTTAATTATACTTTTAATTTGAATTACTTTTTATTTAGTTTACTAACGGGTTTGCTAATTTTTACAAAACAGTGTCATCAACCTATAATAGTCCTCTCGAAGGATGGACTGACAGTTTTTATGGACCTAATGCCTTCATTGCAGGCGGATTAGTTGGAGTATTAAGAACAATGCATTGTGACACATCAAAGAAAATGGAAATAATTCCTGCAGATTTTACAATAAATGCTCTTATTGCATGTGCTTGGGATGTTGCTCTGAACAAGTAAATCTTTTAGCAATTAAAATAAATATTAAATATAAACGTTTGAAATTAATTATCTTTTAATATTTATACTGTCAAAGAGCCTTTAATCATTACGATTTTACTTAAAAATCAGAAACTGAAAAAATAATTCTTATTCCTTTTTCAGGACTAAAGAAGATGAACCTTTCGTTTATAATTATATTTCCAGTCGAGAAAATTTAATTACTTTCGAAAAATTTTACAACCTGACTTACAAATACCAAGTTGCTCCTTTAAAGAGTATTTGGTGTTATAATATACTGTTATTAAAAAATTACTACGTTTATTATATTTTAGAAATAATTTTACAAACTCTACCTGCAATTATCATCGATGCATATTTAAGTATAATAGGAAAAAGAACTTGGTAAATTAGAAAATTTTAAATATGATATCGTCAATTTAAAAAATTGTTAACAAATTCAAAAAAAAATAAAGAGAGAAAATCATTATTTTTCAGGGCAATCAGAATGAACAAGAAACTAAACACTACAATGAAATTGGTTTCTGTTTGGACATTAAACGAATGGAAGAGTAGCAATGAAAATACAAAAAATCTTTGGAAAAGAATATCTCATGATGATCAGAAATTATTTCCATTTTCAATGGATGATATTGACTGGGATGACTATGTTAAAAAATACATGATTGGTATAAGAATTTATTTGCTAAATGATCCTCTGACTACAGTTCCTGCTGCTGAGAAACGTAGAATGAAGTGCGATTCTTTCATTTATTTAATTTAATTATTTGGAAATGAATAGTTCTAATTTTTTCTAAATTTAATTCAGCATCTAATTTGTAATTAATAATATTTTGTATTTTTCCTACAGGTTTTTAATGTTCCAAGCAGGGCTAAAGTATTCTTTAATAATTCTTCTAATTTGGATTTTCTACACAATTTTTAAAAAATTAAACTTTTAAATATTTTTTTTATACCAAAGAACTAATTAAATTCAATTAAACACTGTTTCCCTATAATGTAATTCTTTTACAAAAACTGTTTTTTGAAATAATAAACAATAATCTAATAACCAGAAGTTAGTCAGTAAATTGTTTATAAAATGCTAATTATTGTCATGCATAGTGATTAATTTTTTATTAACCGATTGCAACACGCGCACAAGTTTTTCAACTTTGTTAATATTTTCAATCATTGATTTTTAAGGCATTATGGCATAATTAAAATGATTTTTATAAAACCATTTAATGAAAATTGCCACTAATTAGTCAAAAAATTGTTTATCAAAGAACAAAAAATTCATAATTTAGTAATTATTTAATTTAAAAAAATAGAAATTGATAATTAAAAATTTATTTCCAGTCAAGCTTTTTTTTGTTATACGTAAGAAATAATCTATTATTAGTCTAGTTAATCATGATTTTAAATTACGTGATTTACTGAGATTTTACAGTACATATATAAAGCAAGGATATAAAAAGCAGCTTCATTAGTTACTAATCAGTGTTTTTGAGTCGTCGGAATGTTATCATAAGCTAATGTTACCAGAGACAGTGAATATTAATCGATTAATAATTAAATGATGCAATCTGATGATTTTAAACCTAAAACTCAAATACAAAATTTTTATGCGGGTCAAAGTGTCTTAATCACAGGTATAACAGAGACAAATATTTTAATATTAATCACTGTTAATTTGAAACGATCAATCTGTTGCAATTTGATCCTTGCAAGAAAACAGTGAAGTTGAAATTTAAAATTAATTAGTATATCTCAGTTGCTATTTTTTATTCCACTAAAAGGAGGTACAGGATTTTTGGGTAAGCTTCTTATTGAAAAACTATTAAGATGTTGTCAAGAACTGACTTCTATTTATATAATTATAAGACAAAAAAGAGATCAAGATATTTATAAGAGAATACAGCATCTTTTCGAATCACCGGTAAATTTTCTATTTATTTAAAACATATCTAACTGAAAAAATAAAGAATGTAACCTACATTTGAATAAATATTTTTTTATTTTAGATTTACGATCAATTAAAATGCGAATATCCAGAATTTTTCGAGAAGATTATCCCGATCGAAGGAGATAGTAATTTACCAAATTTTGGAATATCTCCCGAGAATAGAAATATTTTATTAAAAAATGTTTCAATAGTCTTTCATGGAGCAGCTAATGTGAAATTTAATGAAAAACTCGGAAAAATGATCCTTGACAATATTTTTGGAACTAAAGAATTGATAAATATTTGTCAATCTATGAAGAACTTAAAGGTCAATTTTAATTGCTTTCTTTCTTATATTATACAATAGGTAAAAAATACATAATTCTTTTTAATCTCAAAGGTTTTTATACATGTATCTACATTTTATTCTCAATCCACAAGAAAGGAGATTGATGAGAAATTTTACGATACTTCAATAACAGGTAATTTCAACTATTTTAGAACATGGGCGAAAAAGAAAATAATAATAAAAAAAAAATAGTATTTTCATAAGATTAAAATTAAAAAATTATGGTTTTCTATTTGCATTATTTCAGGCGATAGAATTTTAAAAATGGCGGAAACTCTTACTACAGAAGAATTAGATAAACTTGAGAATATTTTAAGGAAAGATCATCCGAATAATTATACTTTTACAAAGGCAATTGCTGAACAATTAATTCATCAACATGGAAAAGAACTTCCTTTTGGAGTATTTAGACCAGCAATAGGTCAGATTACTCAATTATTAATTATATATAAAAATTAATTTAAATTCTTATTTTAACAAAATTATTTACTTATCGTTACGAGTATATTTTTACAAAACAGTGACGTCAACCTACAATAGTCCTCTCGAAGGATGGACTGACAATTTTTCTGGACCTAATGGAACCTATGCAGCCGGATTAACTGGAGTATTAAGAACAATACGTTGTGACTCATCAAAAAAAGTCGAAAGTGTGCCTGCAGATTTGACAATAAATGCTCTTATAGCATGTGCTTGGGATGTTGCTCTAAACAAGTAAACTTGTTTTAATAATTAAAATATAAAAATAGAAACTTTTAAATGTAATTAATTATCTATTAAATATTCATATCAAGAGCTCCAGAAACTAAATCAATTAATTTATAGATAACTAATTAAAAATCATAAAGAGAAAAAAATTATATGTAATCAATTTCTAGGACAAAAGAAGATGAACCTTTCGTTTATAATTACATTTCCAGTTGGAAAAATTCAAAGACTTATGGAGATTATTTTCACTTGGCTGACAAATATAAAGTTCCTACCTTAAAAAATGTCTGGCCCTATAGTATAACGCCTATAAAAAATTATTATGCTTATAATATTTTAAGCATAATTTTAGAAACTGTACCAGCAATTTTTATCGATACATGTCTAATTATTATCGGAAAAAAGACTTGGTGAGAAATAATAATTATATCATGTGTCATAATAAACATAACATATGAGTAAAATGAAGAAATTTTTTTCAGGGCATTAAAAATGAACAAGAAATTGAATACTATGAAAGAATTATTGCTTTTTGGCACATTGAACGAGTGGAAAGGCAAAAACGAAAGAACCAAAAATCTTTGGAAAAGAATATCTCCTGATGATCAGAAACTATTTCCATTTTCAATGGTTGATGTTGACTGGCATGACTATGTTAAAAAATACATGATTGGTATAAGAATTTATTTGCTGAATGACCCTTTGACTACAGTTTCTGCTGCCGAAAAACGCAAATCAAAGTGAGATTCTTTTAATAATTTAGAAATTAATTGAATGGTGAATTTCGAAAAGGGCTCAACTCTAAAAAGGCTAAGAGTCATTTTCACTATCAATTGTTATGCGAAAATGACACGCTTTTTCGAGTTGAGCCCTTTTCGAAATTCACCATTCAATTAAATTATTTTTCTAATTTTACTGTTTAATTTACTGATTGTGCATTTAATTTCCAATTAATAATATTTTTTGTTTTTCCTACAGGTTTTTAATGTATCGAGCAGGGTTGAAATATTCTCTAATAACTCTTCTAATTTGGATTTACTGCAAAATTTTTAAAAAGTATCTAATATTTTTACAGTAAAAATTTGGATTATTTTTTTTTTAAACACCTGATAGGAAAAATTACTAAAACATAAAGTTAAATTTTCATGTAACGGAATCGATTTTTCTTTACACTTTTGTATAACTTTCATATAATTAAAAGTTTTTCTATTTTTAATTATTTTCCAATAAAAATAATAACGTAATTGCTTTTGTTTTTTCATTAAACCAAGCTTGTTTTAATTCTAAGATATATTTGAAATTCGGACTAATTAGAAACATTTTTTTTTTTATATTCCGGTGGAATATTTCAATGATACTTTCAAAGATAAAAAAAGCAAATAAAAATATTTTCCAAAATATATTTTTTCCACACTGGAAAAAAATATTATTAAATCAAGAAAACCAATTTACTTGATTTGATTCAATATTTTTTTGATCTAAGAAAATTTACTAGATTTGAAGTAAATTTTCTTGAACTAAGAAAATTAGTGAATCAAATATTGCAAATGTTGAATAAAATATTACATGTTTTTAAAAATAAAAAAAAAAATTAAAATTCTCTATAAAGTAAACATAAACAAAAATGCAGTAGTGCAAATAAGAATGATTGTTTGAAATTAATCGCGACATATTCTAATGGTAAATTAGGAAATTAGGCAAAGACTGTGATATACATGAAGTGATTAATGTTTACTATTGAGTTAGTCATACATCCAAGATTTGAATGGATTCGCAAAGCTATCGCGTAACTAGCTGAATTCGCACTTTGTTGAATGCCTGCAGAACGGACGATTATTATTAATATGCATTCTGTTACGATTCCATGATGCTGAATTCGAATATTCTATAGTTTACGAGATAGAGAGCATAACGTATTTAGCTACCATCATTCAATACAACAGTGTGCATTCGAATTTAAACTATTGTTTTAATTCACAGACTGGTTATAAATCGGGGTTAAATTAACCGTAACAATATAACATGAAGCGTCTCAATTTCCTCTAACCTACATTTAAAAAATTAAAGTTTCTTCCAAAAAAAATATATCTAAAATAAATATAATTCCAATTAATTATATAAAATTTAAATAATTTTGTAATTAATAATTTGAAGTAAAAAATATATATAATATTTAATTATTCAATATTAATAAAATAACAATTATTGCATAAAAAAATATACATTTTTTAGAAATTTTTTATTACAAATGTGTAATATTTTTGTAATATTTTTTTTTTTCTTTATAATAAAGTAATCGAATAATCAGCAATTTGAAGTAAATCAATTTTGTATAATCTTGAAACATAGTAATTAATTTTTTATTTGCCATTTGTAACACGTGCACAATTTTTTTTTTTTAATATAATTAATATTCTCAGGCAATAATTTTTTTCAACTATACTTGAACTGATTCTTTTGAAAATAAATTCATATTCTTAGTCATTGGTTTTTGCGTGAAGAATGTAAGAATTTATAAAATTATTAAATTAAATTTAAAATACAAAGTTTAAAATTTGTTCTTTCAAGGAAAATAATATTATTCACATTATATTATGTTTTAAATTATTTAATTAAACAAATGAAAATTAGTAATTAAAAATTATTTCAAGTTAAACTTCTTTTTTTTTGTTATTATTAATATAAAATATATCAGTGAGAAATTTCTAGAGAATTATGAATACAAATTACGTAATTTACTGAGATTTTATAGTTCATATAAAGCAAGAATATGAAATGTGGCTTCATCAGTAATTAACCAGTTTATATGAGTGGACTGAAAAGTTGTCAAGCGAATGTTACCAGAGACAGTGAATATTGATAAAGAGTAAGTATCAGATTAATTTAAATTATACAACTCTAAAACTCTTCTTCAAACTAAATAAATTTAACTCTATTCTATATTAAATTAAAATCAAACCTCATAAATTAATACTAAATCTAAATTTTTATTATAAAACTATAAAAATTATTTTTTGTGACTATATATATTAAATCAGATATTACTGGATCATGCAGTCTGAAGATTACAAGACTAAAACGCCAATACAAAATTTTTATGCCGGTCAAAGTGTATTAATCACAGGTATTTATTATTTACAGTGGAACCTCGATTATCCGAACCGAAAAACATTTTATCCGAACTATTTTTTGGGGGACGCATGATTATGTTCTAAAAATCATTAGTAATAATTTACATTTTATCGAATTTTATTTGTCCTAATTAGTTTTGAGCCAAATTTTAATTTGTTCGAAATAGCATTTGGCATAATGTTCATCAATCCGATTTTCTATATGGCAGAATTTGTATATAACGGAAAATTCAACTCACAGAATTTTTATTTCTTCGAATTTTTATTTGTCAGAATTTTTATTTGCTCGAATTTTCATTTAACATAATCGGCATTTTAAAGAATTTTTATTGGGTAGAATTTCATTGAATAGAATTTTCATTTGTTCGAATTATTATTTGATATAATTTCCATATAATTGATTTTTCATACTACATAGAATTTTTACTTAACCGAAAAATCATTTAATAGAATCTCTAATTGATAGAATTTTCATTTATCCGAATTTTCAAATGGCCGAACAAACAATCGACAGAAAGATTTCGGCGCGATTTTTAAAATCAACCAATCAAAAATTATTCATAAAATTGTGATTGGTTGATTTTAAAAATCGCGCTGAAATCTTTCTGTCGATTGTTTGTTCGGCCATTTGAAAATTTGGACAAATGAAAATTCTATCAATTAGAAATTCTATTAAATGATTTGTCGGTTAAGTAAAAATTCTGTAGTATGAAATATCGATTATATGGAAATTATATCAAATAATAATTCGAACAAATGAAAATTCATCTAAATGAAAATACTATTCAATGAAATTCTACCCAATAAAAATTCTTTAAAATGCCGATTATGTTAAATGAAAATTCGAGCAAATAAAAATTCGAAGAAATAAAAATTCTGTGAGTTAAATTTTCCGTTATATAAAAATTCTGCCATATAGAAAACCGGATTGATGAAAATTATGCCAAATGCTATTTCGAACAAATTAAAATTCGGCTCAAAACTAATTAGGAGAAATAAAATTCGATAAAATGTAAATTATGACTAATGATTTTTAGAAAATAATCATGCGTCCCATTTTTTGGTCTCCCGAATTTAAAATTTTTTTTTCTCTATTTATTTTATCATTCAAAGCAAAATAACCAAATTTATGCCAAAAAAATCTTAAAAATTTCTGAATTTTCTGAGTTTTTAATATATATTATTCGATTCGAACCACTGTATTTCTAAATTTAGAAGATTTTTAGTTCATTAACAACTTTTTCTACTTTGTTAAAAGGAGGAACAGGACTTTTGGGAAAGTTACTTATAGAAAAATTGTTAAGATGTTGTCCAGAACTAACTTCTATTTATGTAATCATAAGACAAAAAGGAGGTCAAGATATTCATACGAGAATACAGCGTCTTTTAGAGGAACCGGTAAATTATTTAAATAATTTTCATTTATTTCCGTTTTTAGAGAAATTAAATTTTAATTTAAGAATTCAATCACTTCGTATGAGACAAAAATTTCATAAATTAGTAATTGAATTGTAAAAACAACTTTTATATAGGAATTTTCTTTTGTAGAAAATTTATTCTGTATAAATGGTGCATAATCTATTTTAAACAGTTTCAGTAGAAAATTTTTTTTCCTGTAGAAACAATTTTTACAGAGACATTAACATTGTAAATTATGTTTTATAGATTTTTGAACAATTAAAATGCGAATGTCCGCAAGTATTAGAAAAGATTATACCAATCGAAGGAGATAGTAATTTATCAAATTTTGGAATATCTCCCGAGAATAGAGAGATATTATTAAAGAAAATTTCAATTGTTTTTCATGGAGCAGCGAATGTGAAATTTGATGAAAAACTCGAAAAAATGATACTCGACAATGTTTTTGGAACTAAAGAATTAATTGATATTTGTCAATCTATGGAGAAATTAAAGGTCAGTTGTTTCCCTTTTTTTATGGAGTAAAGAAATTAAATTTTTTATCTTATTTAATCTCAAGGTTTTTATGCACATATCAACATTTTATGCTCACGCGACAAGGAATGAAATTGATGAAAAATTTTACGATTCTCCAATAACAGGTTTATATATATAAGTTTAACAAGTTTAGAAAATTTTTTTAAAAATAAATTAAGATTTTCCACTTTTTTTTTATATAGGTGACAGAATTTTACAAATATTCAAAACACTAAATAGAGAAGAATTAGAAAATCTTGAGAATATTTTAAGGAAAGATCATCCGAATAATTATACTTTTACAAAATCAATTGCTGAACAATTAATTCATCAATATGCAAATAAACTTCCAGTTGGAGTATTTAGACCAGCCATAGGTCAGATTATTCAATACTAAATTAAATTTGTTTAAGTAATTAAATTTTTAATTTATTTTAATTTAAATTTATTTTTAATTATATTTATTTTCAAATAAATATTACTTGAAATAAATAAATAATATAATAATAAAATTATTATTAGTTGAAATATGTATATATGTAATTTTTACAAAACAGTATCGTCAACATATAACACTCCTCTCAAAGGATGGACTGACAATTTATTTGGAACTAATGGCTTCATTTTACCCGGATTAATTGGAGTGTTAAAAATAATCTTATGTGACAAATCAAAGAAATTGGAAATAATTCCTGCAGACTTAACAGTAAATGCTCTTATTGTATGTGCTTGGGACGTTGCTCTAAATAAGTAAATTTCTCATTTTTTTTTATAATTAAATAAAAATATAATCGTCTATGTTTAATTAATTAACCATCTATTCAATATTTATATACTGTCAAAGGGTTTTTAATTATTACGATTGACAGAAAAACGATTTTTAAATAATAATTATAAAAATCAGAAACATCTAGAATAATTAATTTAGAATTTATTTTCTAGGACTAAAGCAGATTACCCTTTCGTTTATAATTACATTTCCTCTTGGACAAATTCAATTACTTATGGAGAATATTATAACTTGAGTTACAAATACCAAATTGCACCCTTAAATACTGTCGGGTATTATAGTATAATGTTACTGAAAAATTACTACGTTTATTATATATTTAAAACAATTTTACAAACTCTACCAGCAATTCTTGTCGATGCCTATCTAATTGTCATAGGAAAAAAGACTTGGTAAGAAAATAAAAATAGTAAAGATTAATATTAAATTATTAATCGTGTAATAGAGAAAATAATATCGAACACAGAATTTGATTGTCTAATTTCAAATATTTTGAAAGAAATAAAAAGATAGAGAGAAAATCATTTTTTTTTTTTCAGGGCAATGAGATTTAACCATAAACTAAACAAAATGATTAAATTGCTTTGTTTTTGGACATTAAACGAATGGACAGGAAAACATGAAAGAACAAAAAATCTTTGGAAACGAATATCGCCTGACGATCAAAAACTATTTCCCTTTTCAATGAATGACTTTAATTGGCCTGACTATATTAAAAAATATATGATTGGTTTAAGAATTTATTTATTGAATGACCCTCTGACCACAATTCCTGCAGCTAATATACGCAGATCGAAGTGAGATTCTTTTAATTTTTTAATTAATTTCTCTAATTTTGCTAATTAATTAGGCAATTAATTTAAAATTAATATTATTGATTTTTTTCTTACAGGTTTTTGATTCTTCACGCAGGACTGAAATATACTCTAATAATCCTTCAAATTTGGGGTTTCTACAAATTTTTCAAGAAATATCTAAATTCTCAAAAATTCTCAATTCTCAATAAAAAAAATTTTAATATTTTTTATAAATAAAAAATTTCTTTAAATCAAAGAATTTTTTTTCTATACGAATGTCACTCATGGAATACAGTTTTAATTTAACAATCTATTTGAAAAGGACCTTTGTTAAACTATTATTGGGAGGGAGGGGAGGGGGGGGGGGAAATGTACCACAAATATTGGTATGATCACATACGATTGTAAAATACAATGTCATGCAGCTTTCATTGCTTTCCATCGATCGATAAGTAATTATGAAATTTTCCCTTTACATTCAACAACCCTCTGTCATTTAATTTTAACAGGTTCGTTCGACACTGGAGATAATGGGATTAAAAATTCTCACAAATCCTCATCAAGATGCTTTCAAGTATAAATCGAAACTTAATAGTTATTACTGTTTTTTTTTGGCCCAGAAAAGAGCCATAAAATGAAAAATAATGACAAGGATTTACATTTTTTTTAAATATTCAAAAAAAAATGTTTGATATCCATTTTAAATCCGCAAAAATTAAAAGTGATAACACGTCATGCATAAAGCTTAAAGTAAATATAGACATGAAATATTTTCAACAAAGTGCAATCAAACTTTTAGTAATTAAAAATAATAATAATAATAATAATAATAATAATAAATAATAATATTGTTATACATGCACTTTTCATAATTGTCAAAGCTTAAAAGAGAAAAAATTGTAAAATAACAAAAAATACATTGAAAAGAAAATATTTTGTCATTCAATAAAATAGGCAATTTTCAGAAACAATTTGCAAAACATATTCGACCAGTAAAAAAAAATAATAATTAACTTCCTGAAAAAAACGTGACGTTCCATTTTACGAATCGTTTTATGTTTTTTTTTTTTTAAATAAGCACGAAAGTGTAATTTTTTTTTTAATGGAGCGAAATAAGCGAGCAAGTAATTTACTGTTATATATATACATTTAAAGTACATTTGGTTTTGAAACAAGATATTATATTCAAAACCAAGTCCATTAAAGGTTTTCAATAAAAATTCATATGTTTTCAAATGTGATCGATAGCCAATTGAAGAAACCAATTCCCTATGCTTTGCGAGCTATTCAATTATTTTCCCGCTCTATGATTTTGCGTTATATTTGAAAACTTTGAAATGAAATGCAATAAACGAAGAGACAATATTAGAAATAAATAAAATAATGTTTAGAATTGCAATGCTTTTTTAAAAAACATAATCTAATTATAAAACTACAATTATTAAAAAATAATATTATAAATATAAAAATAAGATTATTAAAAAGAATAAAATAAAAAAAGTTGTAAAACAATAATTGTATATTGCTGTCATTTAAATGAAAAAATTACTTGGGAAATATTATAGGCAAGGAATTATATAGGCAATCGAAATAGATATTCTATTTTTATTGCTTAAACTCTAGAAAATATGATCTCTGATATGTGGATTCAATTTATAATCTAACTTACAAATAAGTTTATACTTATTGGATTTTTTTTTATATATTTTACATAGCGATGATTATTCCTTAATTATTATTATTAAACATCATTTTTTTATAAGAATTTAATTCTTTTAAAAAATATGGTAAAAAAATCGAATTTTTTAACCTAATAATTTTCTTCAAATGACTAAAAATCGAATTTTCAACAAAATTTATATTCTTTAATTTCTTTTAAACTTTGATTAAAATATTATCAAATTTTCAAAACTTGAATTTAACAATATATTGAGATTAAAAAATCCGCCTTTTTTTTATCTTTTAAATTTAAATCAATCACCTCGACTGAAAATCAATTATAACGGTTTGAATATATAGTAAATTCAATCATCTCAATGGAAATTGATTAATTGAAGTGATTGCTTTAAAAGTTGATAAAGTGCGGCGTAAAATAAATACAAAAATTTTGATTTCATTATTAAAAAAGAAAAATAATAATAATAGTAAAATGAAAAATTCTTACTTGGAGGAGGACTTTGGAGTTTTGGATGGGACTTTTTTTTTTTTTTTGAAGGTTTTCAAACAAAAATAAAGTGAGGTTCGGGCTTGCAGAGGGAGGTTTCACATTCTGGACCTGTCTTTTCAGTTCTCAACCATTTCCCGTGACAATGTGGAGATGAGAGAACACTCCACCTTGTGATCATTGCTTCAATACCTCCGTCACCTTCACATCGCCAATCAAGAACTCGTCTTAAGGCTTGTGTTTGACATCGAACACATACTCGAGAACCTTAAACAAATTGAAAAATTATTATTATTACTTTTTAAATTATACAGGCCTCGAATCGATTTAAAGGCACAAAAAAAGTCGCTTTAGTCGATTTATATTCCAAAAAAAAGTCGAAAAAGTCGATTTTTTTATTTTAACAAAAATTATTTACAGATTTTTAAATAAATTTTTTTTTAAAATAATAATACTTTTGAAATAGTTAAAGTTGAAATTTTTAGAAATAATTGAATTTTAAAAGATTTTGTTAATTTTTAGACAATAATTAAATTTTACAGAACTAAAAATAATTTATTAAATAATTTCAGTTAACATTTTTTAAATGTAATTGAATTTTCAAAGATTTGCAATTGAAATTTTTAAAATTAATTGAACTTCAAGTGATTTTTAATTAAAATTTTTTGATGATTTCACTAAAACATTTATTAGAAATTGCGGACAAAAATACAATAATTTGAAAATTTCAGATAGTTGAATTTTCAAAGAATATTATAAAAATAGTTAAAAATAATTTAATTTCCTTAGAGTTATAATTGAAATTGTTAAATTTAAAAAAAATTTTAGATAAAAATTTTTAGAAATTATTAAATTTTAGAAGCTTTTAAATTAAAATTTTTGAAAATAATTGAATTATAATTAAAATTTTGGATAATAATTCAATTTTAGTTGATTTTTGATTGAAAATTTTGATAATAATTAATTTTGAATTGAAATTTTGAATAATTATTGAATTTTAATTGATTTTGAATTAAAATTTTTGGTAATAATTCAATTTTATTTGATTTTAAATTGAAAATTTGAAAAATAATTGAATTTTAAAAGATTTTGTATTGAAAATTTTGAAAATAATTAAATTTTCTTTGATTTTGAATTGAAATTTTGGGTAATAATTGAATTTTAGTTGATTTTGAATTGAAATTTTTGAAAATAATTAAATTTTATTTGATTTTGAATTTATTTATGATTTTAAATTAAAAATTTTTGGTAATTTTATTTGATATTTTTTAAAAATTACAAACAATTGTTAAATTTCATAAAAATTTTAATTAAAAATTAATTTGAAATAATTGAATTTGTGATGAATTTCATTAAAATGATTAAAAATAATTAGTTTAGTGAAGAATTTTAGTTAAAAATTTGTTAAATAATTGAAATAAAGAAGATATGAAGAAGATCTGCATTTTATACTAAAAAAAATATATATTTTATTTAAAAAAATTTTTTAAAAATGTAAAAAAAAGTCGAAATAGTCGCATTTTATGAAAATAAGTCGAAAAAAGTCGGAAATTGTCGAAAAAGTCGTATAATCCGAGGCCTGATTATATCAAATTCAATTAATTGTAAATTATCCCATCTTTTTTATAATGCAAAAAAAATTTAACAAATTGTTATTTAAAAAAAAAATTGCATTTCGAGAAAAAGAATTGTAAACGCGCACCGAATCACAAAGTATAAAAAGAATCGACGAGAATCATTTTCGATTGTAATGTCTGTATTTTCTTTCAGAAAATATGATTGTCAAGTAAAAGAAATCCTTGTAAGAATCTTTTCCTCATTTTTTAAGTCTACGACGGCAGAATACAATGAGAAATAGAAAATAAAATACAGTGGTTCTGAGAAAAAGAGAACGAGTCGTTGAGAAAAGTAGTTCCCGTCACGATGCTGTAGCAAACGATCATCGGAAGTGGAAAAAACAAGAAAAAAGAAAAAAAAAAAAATGAAAAGAAAAAAATCTCGGATTGCTGCAATCGATTCGTTTAAGCATCCCCTATGTGCTATCAAATGTATATCGATCTATCCATTTATATTGACGACTTACCTTCGGCAAAATCTGAGAGATTCGCATCATTGTAACACGCTTTCGATGCCTTCGTTACTGTAAACGTCACACAGTATCTGAAACAAAAAAAATAATAAATCCCTTTTTAATGCTTTTTTCAATTTTTTCCTTCAATAATAAAATTTTAAATTCCCTAAATGTTAAAAAAAAATTCAATTGCGAATATAGAAAAAAAAAATTCCTATTGTTTTAATTTTAAAGCCTTAAACTTTTTGAAAACTGCGAAGCTATTTGAGTCTCTTATAAAACTTTCAATCGTCTTCCTGAATTTTTATTTCATCTCTTCTCAAAAGTAGATAAATAGTGAGAAAGCTGCTTAAATCTTGAGAATATCAATAAATCGTGGTAAGAACCCCTCGAAAGGATACTTTTCTTCTGCATTGGTGTGCACTTATCCTTTTTCTTGATGTTTTTCTCAGTTTTTCTCCCTAAGGAAACTTCTCTCTCTCTCGCACAAGTGATGAAGAGCTTATGCAAAATGTACCATGATACTTTTCTTCTGAAGTACACTTGTTTGCTTTTCCCTTCTCTATTTTTTTCTTCACATAAAAGAAATAAATAAATCGTTTGCAAAAGCATACGTGCAATACACATTTATATTATATATATGTACACAACAGGGAATTTCAGAACCAAGAAAGAGAGAAAGTGAGAGAGAGAGAGAGAGAGAGAGAGAGAGAGAGAGAGAGAGAGAAATATTCAGAAATGTGTCTGATGTCTATTTTACACATATATTTTGTCGTGCACCAGTGAAATAAGTGAGATGTGCCAAGCGGGGCCGGAAGTCCGGAAAATATGAAAACTGCTTGAAAATGAAATGTGAACTCCCTCGAATCATAAAATTTACAAGAAATATATGTATATGATCCTTTTTTTCTTATATAGAAATCATTCTCAATAAATAATATATAGAAGTTTTAAATTAATTAAATTTTTTTTGATTAAATCAGCAAAAAAATTTTCGATTTTCCCTCGAACAAGATAAAAAGTTTTGCTCAATTTGGAAAAGGATTATTTTCAAAGCGACATAATTCAATTCTCTGCGGTGAAAGTCTAAAAAGAGGAAACCTACAAAAAAAAGATAAGAATGGTCAAAAGGGATTTGAAGTTGTAAAAATAGAAAAAAAGGGTATTTGAAGATAAAAATTTGCTTGAACAGCAAAATGGACGTAACCAGTTAAAAATCGATGGGGTGGGGGGAAGTATATGGCTGAGAAATTGTTAGACGTCCAATCCACATGGTATATATATATATATATAGTCGAAGAAAAAGAGCAGTTTATCCTTAAGGATTGCGCCAATACGCTATATAGGTTTGTGCATTGGGTGCTTCACGAATTCAATTGAATTGACGATTGCAGTTCACTTATATCTGAGTTTGTCGAATGCTCGAAATAAAGTTATCGAGAGAACTTTGCCGAGCCTCCTTCACTCAGACCCTCTCTCTCTCTCTCTCTCCTCAACTCTCCAGGTTGCACTTATATCATCACTCCCACAAGCCCTTATATATCCAAGTCGAAATACGGTTACTCGCACGATAGCAGATTGGAAATTCAACTCTCTTGGTTATAATTCCTTAAACTTCATGCTCTAATAATGTATCAACATTTCTTTATTTTCCAAATTATTATCAACCTGAAATTCAAAAATCATATGAGCATTGAAGTATAAAATTGTGAAATAATTAAAATATTCTATAATCTAACTCGTGTGTTTTCCTTTAATGTTAACGGACATTCAACAGCTAATAAAGCGAGGAAAATTAATTAAAATAAAATAACCTCTATGAACGATAAACTTTCCACAAATTATGCATGCAAAGTGTGTAAAAGATAACGTAGATTTGCTTTCTCCACATATAATAATAATAATAATAATAATCGATTTTCTATACACTCATATATCGTGTAAATTATGCACAGTTCTATTGTTTCTGTCCCACGAATATTTTGGGGTCATGAGATTTTGGTCTGACCGTACCGCGAACTTTCAACTCTCTATTCCACTAATAATGCAATGTGCGAACAGATTTAACAAAATGATGCAGTCTTATTCTCCAGTATATTAATTATTACTATATACAACTTCGATAAGAGCATCATACCTTGACAAAGAATAAATAATTTTCCCAGAAAAAAAATGTAAATTAAAAAAAAAACTTAATTTAAATTAAAAATTAAAAACTTATCGTCTCAAAGACGAAAAAATTTATTTGAAAGATAATTAGAATTTCCTGAATGTCAATTTTTTTCAAATAATTACAATGATAAAAAGTATATTTCGTATGAATGAAGGAGTTTTAATGAATTCATACGACCTTGGAATTCAAACAGTGAATAAGTCAAGGTTCGTATAATGTTCATAGTTATATATACTAATTGCTATACTTCTTTAGAAAATATAATTAAATATTATTATCATACTTCACAGTTTGTATAGAGACATAATAGAAGAATCAAATACGTCTTCGATTTCGCGTAAATTTATATATTTTGCAAATTTTAAATTCTCTAAACCATGAAGTTCATGTATTTTTTAACATTTATCTTTAGTCTCTATATTTGTTTGAATTGTCAAAAAACATTTCTCGATTCTGTGGAGAATATTCGATTATTTCGACAATTTAAAAATTGGACACTACGAATGTTTGGTATTTATAAAATAATATGAAATTTACTTTTTTTTAATATAAAAATTAATCAATTCTTTTTTAAAGAAAAAATGGGTGAGAAGGAAAAAATGCGCGAGGAGGCAGAGAAATTACACAAAATTCAAGATCCTGTCTCTAAAAATGTACCATTTCCTTGTAATCTAGAAGGTACTTTATTTCTTTTTACTTTCAAAAATCATTTTCTACTAACATATTTATTGATATTAAAATTTTGTTTTTTTTTCAATTTTTAAAATATAGATTTCCTTTCGTATAATCAGATTTCTTTATCCTTTTGAATTTTTTCTTTTTCAAAAACTATTTCTTTATCTTTCAAATATTCTTCATTTGAAATTCTAATCCCTTGTGAATGTATCATTATAAAAATTCATCCTCCTTTTTTTCTAATTTGAATTTTATAAATAATTTTTTAAAAAAAATATTAAAACTAAATTTCAAATAGGTACTAGATCATTAAATGTGCCAATTAGTGTTCACAAATTAAGACCCGGAGATATTGATATTTATGCAGCATTAGGGGATTCATTGACTGCTGGATCAGGTGCATTGGGAACAAAATTATTTCATTTATTAATCGACAATAGGGGAGTATCTTTTCTCGGTGGTGGTGAAAAAACGTGGCGTGAATATCTTACAGTTGCAAATATTCTAAAGGTTAACATTTTCACTTACTGAATTTCGGAAAAAAAAGAAACACACTTTTTAATTTTAATTTCAAATTATAGGAATTCAATCCAAAATTATTTGGCTATTCAAAAACAGATTCAATGACATTTGAAGAGTCGGCTCAATTTAATCTTGCAACTTTAGGAGCTACGAGTGATGATTTACCATTCATGGCAGAATCATTAGTGAAATTAATGAAAAACGATTCAAGAGTTGACATGAAAAATCATTGGAAGGTAACAAGTAACTATGAAATATTTAATTACTTAATAATCTAATTAAAAATTTAATTCAATCTTTCAGTTTATTTCAATCATGATAGGAGCTAATGATTTTTGTTCTCACATGTGTTATTTGGAAAATCCATCACTGATAATTGATTATCACGAGAGTAATCTTACTGTGGCATTGAGAATAATTAGAGATAATTTACCGCGAACTTTTATAGCCCTAGTTCCTCCTCCACATATATGGACTGTAATGGACGTAGATAATAAAGAACCGTATTGTCAATTTATTCTTGAAATTGAATGTCCATGTTTTTTTGGACCCATGACAAATAATCACAATCAAAAAGAATTATTTGACATTATGACTCGGTTGGTATTTAAAAAAAAATTTTTTTTTTTTTAATTTTTTTTTATAAAAAATTTTTGAAAATAAGTTTCCATATTTTAGATTTCAATTATTAGAAGAAGAAATTGCAAATCGATCTGAATTTCAACGAGATGATTTTACAGTTGTTTATACACCTTTCACTGTCAATTTATCTCTACGGAATGTAAACGATGACAATATACCTAAATCTCATTTATCGGTAGATTGCTTTCACATCAGTCAAAAGACTAATGCAAGAAGTGAGTAATTAATTCATTTTAATACTGAAAAATTGGAAGAATTGCTCCGATCTTATTTTCATTTCGCAATTGAAAAGAGAGAAAGTATGGTCCAATTTACGAGATAATTCGATGATTTTTAATTTTTCCAATAATTCTATACAGGTGCCAATGCAGTTTGGAATTTATTGTTAATGCCAGTAGGTGAAAAAAGTGCTGTATGGCAAGATCCTTTCAAACGTTTTAATTGTCCTACTCCAACAAGGCCCTATATTTACACATCACGAAACAGCAACAAAATAGACCTGCGATAAATACAAACAAATTATTCCATTTTTCGTATACAGCATCCAATTGTTTTAAAATGACAAAATTGAAACAATTGTTTCGTAAAAAAAATACTGTCCAAAATAAAAAATTATTAAATATTTTTGTTACCCTAAATACCAAGAAAAACAGAATTATTATTATAAAAAAGATAATCTAGAAAAAATAATTTTCACCTGATACTGAATTCAACCTAGATCAAATTACCTTCACATTCAGAATTTTTCTCATCAAAAACATCGACTTTTGAAGAAGGATTGAACCTAATATTAAAAAAGTCACGAAAAGTGTGGATTACATCTGTACAAAGAACCATCCGTTGAAATTGGTTTTCTCCTATTTTTTTTTTTTTTATTAATATACTGCGCGCGCAATCTCTCAATTTTCTATTTTCTTTTATAGTGTGAATATATAGAGAGAAAAAAAACCGTTATCACTCGTTAAATCTTTTCTGCAAATAAGAACGTGCGAACAAGCAGAAACATCCAAAAAGCAGTAATGGTTGAAAGAACACTTCACTTTGAACACCCCTAGGAATTCATATATATATATATATATTGAGAAAAGTCTAGTTTTATATATGCGTATGTATATGCTCACAGTTCCAGAGATCATCAAAAGGGAGTTTACGTGAATAGATAATGAAGCCAAATATCTGCTGATATTTTCAACCTTCCCGTAAAAGCTTCCTGTCCCAAGAGACGGCAAAAAAAAAAAAAAAAAAAAGTAAGAGATTTGTACATATCTCAAACTTTTATCTCAGCTTATATATATATACGGTATATATAAGCGAAAAATTGTAGACTAATCATGAAAAACTCAATAAAAGTTGGGAATTTTTTTTCCAAAGAAAAAGTCAAGCGAAATACTAATAAAAATTCCAATAGGAAATTAATAAAAATGACACTTAAAAAATTAGCAACAACTTTTTCAACAGAAAAAATTTAACGCAGAAATACCAATAAGAAATAAATACTTGAAACTATAATTCACTAATAATAGAAACCACATAATTCAGTTTTATATAAAAACTTTCTGTTTTATTGTCACAGTAATAATATTCTTTTATAAAATAATAATTGGATGGCTGTAGGAAAAAAGAAAGCAGTTTTTTTTTTATATTAACATAATGAGGAAAAATAGTCTCTCTCTCTCTCTCTCTTTGTGAAACAAATCTCAGAGAGTTTCCAAGTTTGTGGTATGTTTTTGAGTTTCCCATAGCAAGACGCTTGACGAGTTAAAGGTAAAGTCTCATTAACGTCCATTTCCATTTCTCTTGTCGACGAGAAATAACTTTAACGAAGCATTCTACGTCTTCATTAAATACTATAAAAATTACTTTAAGATCACTAACATAATTTTCATAATCAACAATAGAGTGACAATATTAAAATTTAGATTTTATAAAACTTTGAAAAATTTCCCTTTTTAATATTGTATTTCCTTATACATAAATATTTTAATATAATAAACTCCATGTAACTAGAATTTAATATCTTCAAACCCTCGTCGACGGGGAAAAATAACTTATTTGTGTAATTTAATTTTAAAGACTCTTTTATGATGAGTTTCACCTGAAGGAACTGTCTAAAATTTTAGCTTGAAACAAACTTTAGATGAACCTATCATAAGCAAGGAATAAGCGACGAAGTAAAGTTTAAGCCGAGAGCTTACATGTTAAAGGTTTCATCCTGGCATCGAAGAAACTTTCAAATGTTGAATTTTCATAGAGAAAGTACGACGACAATTCAAATTTTTCTTTTACAATTAATCTAATACTATTGTTAAAGCAAAAAATTATATGCCTTTTTGAAAATAATAAGTACCATAGAAAATATTATTAAAAACTTACTCTTTAGAAACGTCGAACTCGGGACTTTCTCTGTACTGAAGTCGAAGATTCGTTCGAATATCATTTGTGTCATTGATGTGTCGAACTTCACTTAATTCAGCTGGCAGTAATAAAGCGACTTCTATAATAAAAAAATTAAAATCTGTTTAATATCATTTACTGTAAAAATATAAGCGAAAACTTCTTTATCGACGTAACACAGAGTGGAAACTCTTATTGCAAAAATTGCAATCAACATCTAATAATTTTGACAAGTTTAAGTAAATAATGAAAAGAAGAAAATAATGAAAAATTTTACAAAAGCACGATTTCTTTTAATATTTTATATTAACCTATATAAAAATATAAATTATGTAAGCAAGTAAAGAATATAAAAAAAGATAAAATAAGAAACTAATTAAAAATTTAATTAAAAATTTTTATTTCCTAAACAATCTCATTATAGGTTCACAATTCAATGCAATTTCTATGAGCGAATCAGGATTATTAGAATTAAAATCGATTTTGTAACTACTAACAATTAGTTCTAATCTCTTGGTCCATTAGCCCCTCGAACTACCTCTTCTAATTGCAAACCTTAATAGACGAATCGCATGACGAATTTCTTGCATGACTGGCTTTTGCTCTTTCCAAAATGATCAGATTAGAATGAATATTAAACTTGATAGAGACCTTCAACTTGTTAAAGAAAAGTACTTTTAATTTTCTTTTTTCTAATCACATTAATATTATACTAAAAATGTTACTTCAAAAAAATCTCAAATGGTTAATAATTTATTTATTTCTAGAATTTCGTTTTTTTTTCAATGTAAGTTTCCACTCTATATTCCGTCGGTAAAATAGAAACAGAGGGCTCTTTAAAAAATTTCACAATATCCTGAAATTTTTTATATAATCCAAAGTTTAAAATTGTCATCCATAATTTTTGAAGTTAATTAAGGTTTCAACGATAATATTCATTTTTTTAAACTTTTTTTTTTTTTTTAGAAAAAAGTGAAATAAATTAAAAAATTTTACTATTGTTACGAATTTAACTTGAACGTCTTTTTATATGGAAGAAAAGATCTTGGTCATGATGAATTTATGTGGAAATTTGCGGTTTATAGTTTGAAGTTTTTTAACGGTTTAACTTTTGCTTTTATTATTCTTTTGTGCGCATAGTATAAGTAATTTAATGAAGTGGTGAAGGCTCTTACCTTTCAAAGCAGACTTTGGATTACGTGTATGGCACTTAGTTCCTTGACAGCCTCGATGCTGCATTAGCTGTGGACAGTGTTTTCCTCCATTTTCTGCATTTCTCACCACCATCCTCGACCTCGACTGTGAACCAGGTCCACACTCACTGTCACAACTCGACCATGGACCCCAACCAGACACAATGCAATCTAGAACTGTAAAAAAAAAGGAAAATTAATACTATAAATTTAAAAAAAAATTTAATTTAAAGAATTCAAATAAACAAAAAATGAATCGAAAGTTTAAAAAGGAATAAATCAAATTTTTCTCTTAAAATCTTGATTTTGTAGCAAATAAAATATAAAGACTGGAAGGAACTGGAAATAATGGAGAAATATTCGTGGCTTAAGAAAAATTACTTGAAAGAAAAGAGGGATTTTCATTTAAGTAATCAACTTTTGGGAAATTGCTTTTCGTAATCGCTTTATGCTCGTGACTGAATCTAAAGAGGCAAGCCATTAGGATCAAATTCACGTATTATAAAAAAAATGAAGAGAAAGGTGAAAAACAAAAGGGGAAGAAAAATCGGATACACTTATCCTGTATATAGGATCACTGGATAGACAATTAAGCTTCATTCTTCAACGATATTAAAGACGTAATTCTATCCGAAGTCTTGAAAAATATCTTGAACCTTTCCAATGTAACGAAGCTGAAGGCTCCTCGATACAAGTCTCCCTGTACTATTTATTGACCAATAAAAATCACATTTCTGATAAAAAATTGTCTTGCCTTTAAAAAGTTATTGGCTATACAACTGTCTACTAAATTCTAAAGGAACTCTTCTATTCTTCAAATAACTATAAATTTTCTAATAAAAATATCTCACTTGAATCGTGATTAAAAAAAATAATGTCCTATCAATTTTTTTTTATTTTCAAAATATTGAGACATTTTTAAATTTTCTTTTTTTTTCAACAAAACAAAAGTATCACGTTTCTTTTGATCATTTGACAGTCAATCGATATATCTTACCAAGAAATATACAATTTTTTTTTTGATGAATTTCCGATTAAAAATTCATTGCACAAGCAGGTAATTTGTATTTTATCGACATGGCAGGAAAACACAGTCAGAATAAAACGCGAAAGGCTCAGAATAAGAAAAATATCAAAGGTAAAATAAAGTCAATAATAACAATTTTCTATATCAAGTGGCAAAGTTCATTTTCTATTTCCATGAAACTTATTTATTTTTTTTTTTTCATAAAAATGAATATTAAAATAGTATTTTAATTTTTAAACTGACAAATTGAACGCTTCCATTTCATGAATACTTAATTGGAATCTGTGTTCGTTTTAATTAGTATACTTTTTCTTTCACAGAAAATCATTTTTTATTATCAGCACGACTGCAAACAGTATTGAAAACAATTTTCCAGGATATATTGCAAGAAACTCTCACCGATGCGAAAAAAATAGCGGAACAGGCAGGAAAAGGAAGAGTGTCCTTAAAAGACGTAGAAATGGCACTTCAAAAGCTTTGTAGTCGATTTTATCCCACAACTATTAAAATACCAAGGAAAAAATTTGAAAAACTATCAAAAAAATAAATTTCAACATTTAATATAAAAAAACAAGTGTTCAAAAAAAACATAATTCACTTAGAAAAAATAATTAAAAAATTGAATAAATATAAAAATTAAAAATTCCAATCATTCACGCGGAGGAAAAAATTTCTGTTTCAATAAATTTTCAAACGCGAATTATGATAGACGTCGAACGAATTCTGATTGATGTCTTTTTTTGGTATATACACGCTCTATATAATATAAGATATGAATTTTTATTCTCCGAGAAAACGGCAATTTTTAATGTATATATATATATATATATATATATATATATATATATATAATACGTCTTTGCAAATCTTTTATTATTCTCAGAAATTCAAACCTACATATTCTGCTCACTTCAATGTTTTACTGATATTCGAACCACGTACAATATTTATAGTCCTCGCTGTCTCGCGCCCCCTTTTTTTCTTTCTATATACATATATCTCGAATCAAGAATTTCTTCACGAACGATTTTTTTTAATCTCAACAGTCTCACATTTTTTTTTTTTTTTTAAAGACGACAAAATTCAAAAGTGTGAAGTGTGACTCTAAGTGGAAAAGATAAAGTATATATATGTGAAGGGGGGGCGGTATGAACTTTTCTTGACTTTATAGTATCCCTCTGGCGCTACTAGCAAGTCCCATTGGGAAGGTCTTACTTTAAAAATAATGGTAAGTATCTTCTCGCCCCGTGTCTCTATATAGAGAACAAAAAAAAAAAAAAAAAAAAAGAAAAAAACGTACTTCAACTAACTTTCACTAATTTCCGAAGAATGAGAAATCGTTAATTTTTTCCCCCGTATAAAATTTTTATTGCTCTAACTATATATTTCAAACTAGACAATGTAATGTCTGAAACTAAAATCGAAAAATATATGAAAAAACGTCCAACTAAAAAATTTATTTGATTCAAATAATCAGTTTCTTGAGTATATTATCAAATAAATATTTACTCGAACCAAATAATTTTTTAATTGAATTAAATTGTATTTGATAACCAATAATTTCTGTTTTCGAAACAAATATCATTTAATTGACTCATAATAATTATAATAATAATAATACACAAAAATATTTATTTGAATCAAATAATTTTTATTTGAAACAAAAATTGTATTTGAAGCAAATAATTTTTAATTAAATTAAATAAACTGTATTTGATCCAGTAATTTTTGTATTTGAAACAAAACATCTCAAATAATAATTATTTGACACCAATAAATATTTATTTGATAATAGTCAACCGATTATTTGAATCAAATAATTTTGTTGTTGTTTTGGTTATGTCTAATAAAAAATTATTAACTAAAAAATACTAATTTTCTTTCCATCAAATATAATTTGACAATAATAACAAATTTGAGAGCAATTAAAAGGTTCAAGAGATTCTTGTATATATTATAATATCCATCAAGAAGAAAAGGGAAATATAGCCATAATTTCTTAATGGATTACACATAAATTACAACACCCCGGTTTTATATTTATTTGAACATGAAATTGTTTTAAGCGCGTTGTAAATGGCTCATTAAAGCCCAAGTCTGTGACAGTTGTAAAATATATAAACGCATAAAATTCAGAGCTAAAGGCCATTGACCCTTAAAATGCAATGTAAAACCCACGGGAATAAAGTTCTGATCCTTTATACATATATTGCCCAGCATCTAAATTCATAACACTCTTTATCTCACACTTAAATAATGTGTGAATTTCCGCATTTCTATATTATGACAATTTTTATATAAACAAACTTTTATACATAGACAAAACTATATAGGACAGCTAATTTGAACCTCAAGACTAAAACTTGTGACTGTGATGCTTTACGAGAAGAGAGATAGAGAGAGAGGAAGAGAGAGATTTATATCCTCTTCTAATAGATCCTCGAATGGAGATTTTAATTAAAGTCCCATTTATGTTCCTGGCTTGGAGACATGTACGCACCCGGTGGACATTTCATTAAATTTAATTCGATGTAATTCTACAGACCTTCTCGTTAATCCCTATTCAGATGGTTTAATTTTTCCGACAATTTTATCATAAACCTTGTTAATTGTTTCTACAGTTCATTGAATTAAATTCCCCTTTTGATGAAACGTGACAAACATGGAGAAAAAATTAAACGAAAAATGAGATACAAAACAAAAATAATAAATTTTTCTTTTCAAAATAATTTTACAGTCAAATGTGAAAAAAAAAAAAATGAAAAACCCTTAACAATATAAGCTGATCTTGTTTTTTCTGTGAGACATATGTGGTCAATTATTAAACTCACACAGTACAATTCAATTGTGGGTATAGTGACTATGGCCAAAGAGAAAATAGCCCAGGAAAATATAACAACGATTGTATATCGCCACATTAAATCAAATTGTTATACGACTCTGAGCATGTAACCACATGTAGAAACCAAAATCTCGTTTATATTCACGAATGACTATTTTATAGCTCACCGACAATAATAATGATCAGGAAATGGTAAAAGATTAAACGTTGATATATAAAATCTGAATCCATTTCAAAATATCTGTTCGATTTTATATAGAGAGCGTTAAAATTGAAAAAAAATGAAACCCATTTTCGGTATTGAACATTTTTGTTTTGAATAAAATAAAAATAAAAAATTTTTTTACTTAATACAAGTATTAATAATTGAAGCTATTATTCGACACAGTCCGAAAGGAATTGAAAGAAAAGAAAATCAGTCACTTTTAAAACAAATCATTTTGGTAGTTGAATATAGCAGTTCAAAAGGTCCAAAAGGTGTTACAAAACACGAAGTAAAACGAAATGTAACATTAAGAAAAACTTGGGAAAAAACAGCTGTTCTGTCTGAAATACTTTAATTACTTTAGTTACAACTTTTGTTTCTTTGGAGGTTAAATGACTATAGAGAGAAAAGGTAATTGGGTATATAAAGAGTGAGACAAAAATAAACCCCTAAGGAAACTGTCTTTTAGAAAAAAAACTTAATTTTCATGAGCAAAGAAATACCCCTCTCTCTCTCTCTCTCTGTAGGTGTTATACTGGAAATACAGAAATCGAGGTGGTTAATTAAAGCACGTCCTTTGATTACATTGCAGTTGAGTATGCCAATTAAACGGATGTGATATTTAAAGCTGGTGCGAACGTGAAGCAAATAACAGTACTTCAAAGAGAAGCAGTTACCTAACTTAACAAGAATTTCCAATTTCAGAACATTTGGAAACTATACATATTTTGAAACCTCTAAAATTTCCTTTTACTATTAATATTATTCCAACTAAGCTAATCTAAATCGTATTTTCTTTTCTAAAACTCTTTGAATTAAAGACAAAAAAAATTGTATTTTTCTCTCTAAATACTCTCTAAATCTGAATTAGTAAAAATGTTTACTAATTTGAATTAGTGACTCACTTTTTGCTTCTGAATTAGTAAAATTTTACTAATTGTTATTAAAAGTTACTAATAATTAGTAAAATTTTACTAATTCAGAAGCAAAAAGTGAGTCACTAATTTAAATTAGTAAACATTTTTACTAATTTAGATTTAGAGAGTATGAATCAGTGAAAAAGTCACTGGTCTCAAATCAGTCGCTAAATTCTAGCTATTTGA